GCAACACACACACACACACACACACACACACACACACACACACACACACACACTACAGATTAGGTTCAGACCAGATATTTTCATAACAGAGGAGCACAGTTTGGGATGTAGCATGGATGCCTGCTGACTTTGAAGTAGCCCATGGAGACACCCCCCTTACCCCCCCACCCCCCTTCAAGCATTCTGCCTCCCTTTGGTTCATGGCAGTCCCTCAGCAAATAATAGCGAAGCACAACCTGCCTCAAAACCTCGCTTTGCAAAACATCCACCATGAAGGGCCACATCACATCCCTTTCAGGGCAAAAGAGGGAAAATACTGATTTCTCCTGATTCTACCGAGCAGATTCAACATTAGCATAAGGACAAAGGATTTCATCTGTTCCCCTTTTAAATTGAGCTCAAAGAAAAGGGATCCCTTGTAGGTTAAGACAAGTTAATTTAAAACTTTCCTTTCTCCCAAACTTCTCCCAAACTCTCCCCTCTCCATAGCAATGAGGCCGGTCTGTGTTAAGAGCACATTACAAACCTCAACCAAGTTTTTAAAGCTCCGTTTTTCCACCTGCACGTGCGGGATATGGATGCTCAGAGACCTCTGACGGACCACAAAGAGACCTTCTGAAGCAACTTACCCAAAGCTCCTTCACGGATTCCACCCGGGAAGCCTTCGCCCACCCTGGAGGGCAGGGAGGGATCAGCCCTCTGCAGGCAAAGCCAGAGACGGATCTCCCCGAGGAGATCTTTTCTATCTCTTCCTCCCGGCGGGGAGCAGATCTCCAGGCTGGAGGGGAGGCCCGGAGGCCGGAGGGAGAGCAACCCCACCTGCCCCGAGCGGGACCCAGAAGCCTCTCCCGAGGGATCCTACGCCGATCCTCCGAGGAAGAAGCGGGACCGGTGGACGGAAGCGGAGAAGCAAGGGAAGCAACTTCTGCTTTCCTCTCGGGCTCCGCTTCCTCCTTTGCAACCCCACCTCTTAATAGCTCCACTTCCCCAAATCTCCCCTCCGTTCAAAGTGCCAGGAAGGAGAATTCAGGACCTTCCGTTTTTTTTGGTACCTTCCTAATTGGATAATAAATATTTATTTTTACTCCTTTTAATTCAGCTGCCATCGGGTCTCACGCTGATCTAGTGAGCCAAGGTGGCGCAGTGGTTAAATGCAGCATTGCAGGCTACTGCTAGATCAGCAGGTCAGCGGTTCAAATCTCAC